GGTGCTACTGATCCATCAAAAGCTGAACCTGGTACCATCCGTGGTGACTTTTCAATCGTTACCGGACGGTAAGATATTTATCATTTTATCTTGAAAATATTTTTATCACGTTCTTTTTTTTATTTATAATTTTAGTAACATTTGCCACGGTAGTGACTCAGAAACAGCTGCTAAACGCGAAATCGATTTATGGTTCCGTCCAGAAGAAGTTGCCAACTGGGCACATACAGCTGAACGATGGATCTATGAATAAACATACTAAAATTCACTTGGAACAGACAATAGTTTAGAGTATCTCAAATTTCTTCTAGTTTTTCTCTTTGAAATTACTTTTACCGGTGTCAGCTTTTGTGTTTATGTTATTTGTATTGTCTGCATTCCAAGAATTTTAAAAAGAAAATATATGTTTGCTTTACGTTTTAAATCTTATTTTATTATTACTATAAGTTTTGCTCACAAACAACCATTCATAATATTCAATTTCATTTAAAAAAGAAACATACATCGGATGTAATATTCAGAAATCACGACATATTGTAAAATACTTCTATAGTAAACAAAATAGATTTCTCATAGTTAATTCTTGTTGTTTATACACGCTTCTTTGAATCTATTTACGGTTATAATTATCAATTGAGAAACAGATTTATTTCTATTATCTAAGTAATGTATTAGCCACAGGTGAATGACTTAGAAAAGAAAAAAAGATTAACAATACATTTTCTTATTATTTTTGTTTTTGCAGAAAAAAACTGTCTTATAATTATAAATATAAATATTATACTTTACTAGTTGATAAAATATATTTTTCTATAAGAATCTTCGTATATCGCATGATATCATTTTTTTTCATTTTCTTACGTTGTAAAATGTAGTCGATTTTTTTTTATTGTAAAAAAATAGAATAATCAAATAAGCTTATTGATACATGATGTATTAAACAAAATAGAAATTTGAAATAAATTTCTATTATGGAGATTACATAAAAAAATTTAAGTAGTTTTAAAGAGATAATGAGCAAGAATGATTCAATACTCTTTGATTTGTCAATCTATATTAGATGATCGTCGATCTCTATTAGAGGGGTGCCGATTTTTATTAGATAATCGTGAATTTACATCAGACGGTCGTCGATCTTTATTTGGCAATCGTGGATTTATATTAGATAATTGTGAGTCTACATCAGACGGTCGTCGACCTTTATTAGGCAATCGTGGATCTATATTTGACGGTCGTGGATCTATACTAGATGGTCGTCGACTTGTATTAGACAATTGTGGATCTATATTAGGCGGTCGTCGACTTGCATTGGAGAATAGTGGATCTGTATTAGACGGTCGTCCACTTGTATTAGACAATTGTGGGTCTATATTGGACGGTCGTCGACTTGTAGTAGGCAATCGTGGAACTATATTAGGCGGTCGTTGATTTATATTAGACAATCGTTGATCTAAATTAGCTGGTCGTCGATAACGTAACCATTCTTCTAAATGATCCAAATGAGTTAAGATCAATTCAGAAAAAAGCGAATTAACCCAAGCAAACCTATAAGAATGTAAAGAATATAAAGAAATTATTTTTCGAATAATTTATTTTACCAGGGACGAGAAAATTGTTTTGGATTCTCGACATTAAAACTTTCATGCATAGCAAATGTATCGGCATGACTTACTTCTAATCTTTCCCATACATAATCAAGATCCATTTTTGTTTTATTGTCAATAATCATTGTTAATCCTTCCATAATAATAGCCATTGGCCAAACGTACCTTGCTTGTGTATGTTGACTTCCTATACCCGATGCATATTTTCCTTCAAAAAACAATGTATTATTTTTTGATAAAACAAATTGACGTGTTGATCGAATTAATTCATTTGATGGATCATAAGGTGTTTTAAAATCAAAATAAGATGCTGAAAGAAGTGATGGTACATTAGCATCATCAAGAAGTAGATATTTAGAAAAACCATCAGTTTCATATGCATAAATTTTTCCATATTTTGGATGATCTGTTACACCATATGTATTTAAACCAGAAAGAATATCTGCTCGTAATTGTGCAATCTAATTAATAAAAATAAAAGAACTATTCAGTTTGATAATTTTCTATTGTCTTCTATTCAAATATTCTATAATCTTAGCTCACTCTGTCTCTTCGTCAGTAGAACATCTGTCCCTGGCGAAAGTTCAATGGATTCTTACCAACTGTGATAGCAGAAGTTCAGTATAGATTACATGTGAAAACTTAACCTAATATTATTAGAATAAGTAGATGTAAGCTTAAACTCTTTAATGTAGTTACCAGAAACTATTTTTACACATTTGTAATCAGATAATGACACTGGCAAACTTTCTATAAATATGTTGGCAAAATTCGGGAATGTCCTTAAAACAGAGTAAGAAAACGTTTATTAGTCTTTTCTTTTTATCGTATCGTCTGTGTTAGATCAGTTTATCTAAATGGTAATATTTATTATTAACTGTATTGTAATTGCTCACAAACAATAAATTCAATGATTTATATCACTAATCTAATACAATTATTTTAGTTTATTGAATATTGATAGATAAAGGAGATTATACTTCTACATAATAGGTTTAAATAAATCTGATTAAATTTAATAATTCATACTTGTTGTAAAAGTTGAATTTGTTCAGGAAATAGATTTATAATCATTTCAGTTAATTGTTCTAAAACAACAGATGCCATCATATTACTTGGTATAAGATAACCATAAGTTGTTGGATCATCACTTGGTCGAAATCCACTCCAAGTCATTCCTGTATAAGCAACTGGAATACCTTGATAATTATTTTGTAATTCTGTATAACGATAAGGTGAAATTTGTGTATGATGTTGTTCAATAATCATAACCTGAATTATCATTGAAATTGCAACTAACCATTGATCATCAAATACATTTGTTCGTTGACTTTGTTTCCACCATGAATAACTTAAACGTATATGATAACATAAACTATCTAATTCATAATTATGCATAGCAACATGTACATTTCGACCTTTACGAGTATGTATTGGTAGAAGAGAATCATCAGATGGAGGATTTGGACGGAGTTTTAAACGGAATGCACTCCCATATGGATTAGAATAAATAAATTGAATTTGTCGACGAATAAGACCTTCAATAATACGTTGAATATCTGAATCATTCCACAATGGTAAATATTGATGAACTTGTGCACTAATTTAAAATCTTAAAATTATTTATTTATTTAGACTATTGAGTTTTTTTTCTTATTATTATTACTCATACCTACTATCACGTAACCACATAAGATCAATATCACCAGTTATTATATATGTTGAATTATCATCAAGTAGTGTTGTTGTTGTTTCAAGTGTATTTACATAAGTTTTTTGAAATAATTTACACCAAATTTCTCCACCGGCTTTATCACATTGTTTTAAACGTTTACAAACGCGATTAACTTCATTGATAACAGATTTAGGTAATTTTGTAACATTATATAATGTTTTTGCAATATGTTCATTTAAGAGTTTAGTTGGTTGATAAGGTACAGATGGATATTCTCCTGTAGATATCCAAATCCATGGCTGATCATCTGGAGACATAACATTAGATAATAATCTTTTAAGTTTTTCAAGTGCTTTTGTAGATCGTTCAATAGTACTGAGAATATTAGCATTCCATGTTCTCGAATTGACTGTAGAGTGTTTTAAATCCGATGATAATGGTGGAAAAAAATATGCAATAGAAATTGTATTTAATATAAAACTCATTGCAATAATTATATATAAAAATTTTAAACGTACATATGATTTTCTCATTTTAATTAATTTTTGTGAATAGTAAATAAAATGATCATATAATTCATATAAATCACTATAAAAAAAACAAAATATTTTTTTCATCACAATGTATTTTCAAATAGTTTGTCAAAATGAAACAAATAATGAAGATAGATGATATACTATACTTACTTTTGTCATTAATAAGATAATATTTGATTGCAACATATATGTTACATAAAGATCAAGGACTATATTCATTTAAATACTTCTTAAGGAATTTTTACCTGAGAATACGTTTTATATTATGCTTTTAGCCAACAATCTCTGTATACATTGATTATTAATAATGATCGTAAAAATATGTTTAATTATCATAGTACGATAGATTGCAAAATGATTGATAATACTATATTTAAGAACAGACTCTTATATAAAACTAAAAAGAAATCATCGAAAATAAGAAGAAAGCTCTGAAGACTTCTTATGCGCGGATAACCTTACATCAAAATTTTTCTTTAAGTTCACTGGTGAATCGATCTTTTCAGAATGTAGTAGTACATAAAAGTACCTTAGTTCGTGTCGTTAAGTTCTTCTTTATGTAATAAAAAAAAAAATAAGAAATCGAGTCCTGATACGAGTAGTTTCGAAGATGAAATTACAAATGTATTGTCTACACTTGTTATTTTTAATCATAGATTTAGGAATGGTATAAAATCAATAAAGTATTAGAGGACTGAAAACTTCGTAGCAGAACCTTACTTTAAAGGACGTCTTGTTCTATAGAATAGGGATCTGTTGCAAAGCCTAGTATTTGTTTTGGTATTGTTATTAGTATTAGTAGGTATTGAGATTGATAATATTGATGTTATTGCATCCTTATTCTCCGGATCAATTGGAATATTAAGAACATTGCATGATAGATGTAATATTGTTGGAGAAAGTTAAAGAGACCATTTATATTGCTAAGCGTAATCTTGAACAACATTTAAAAATTAAAAATCTTCAAAGTCAAGAGAGTATATCCACTAATAGGCAAATAGTGTGGGTAGTAGCGTTGTTATCACTTTAGTCTGAAGCTCAAGTTATACACTTACAAGAATTTGTGATATATTAGTTTGAAATGTTTATTACTATCTGTTATGATATGGTCACGCTCATTAAGTTCGCCTATAACCTTCATTCAATTTGACAATAAAATATTTATATTTGTGCAAGTATTCTTACTCCTGATAAATTATATAACAAAAACTATGTTTTATTCATTATAATGATACAATAAAAAAAATATGTTTGTCACAAACCATGGTCATTTCTAATTAGGTTTTGGAAAGAAAATTTGTCCATACACTTAACTAAAATGATGCAAGCAGTCTATCTCTACAATGAATTGATCTTCTAAACTACGGTTTTCGTTAAAATATCGAGTAATGTGTATATTGTATTTGTAGAAAGTTTCACCTTGATTCATCTCAAAATG